AGGCATTCGACATCAGAAGACACCTCCCAAGACTCCTCAATTGAATGGTTTGGCTGAGAGAATGAACAAGACTCTAGTTGAAAGAGTAAGATGTCTTCTTTCGTAGGCTCAGTTGCCAAGATCTTTCTAGGGTGAGGCTTTGAATACAGTTGTACATGTTCTTAATCTCACACCATGTGTTCCTCTTCAGTTTGATGTTCCAAACAGAGTTTGGACTGGCAAAGATGTTTCTTATGATCATTTGCGTGTTTTCGGTTGTAAGGCATTTGTGCACATCCCAAAAGACGAGAGGTCTAAGCTTGATGTGAAGACACGACAATGCATCTTTGTTGGTTATGGTCTAGATGAATTTGAGTACAGATTATATGATCCAGTTGAGAAGAAGATAGTTAGGAGTCGTGATGTTGTGTTTATAGAAGATTAGACTATACAAGATGTTGAGAAGACAGAAAAAGCAGTCCATCAATAAAGTGATGATTTGATTGACTTGGATCCGATGCCTTTATCAGTACAGACGGAAAATACCCAGGATGATCAACGGGGTACTAATGATGTAGATGCTCCTACGCAGGTCGAGACAGATCATTAGACTATTGATCAGTTGCCAGAACCAGAAATTCTGCTTAGAAGGTCTACCAGATATCGACATCCTTCCACACGGTATGATGCAAATGAGTATGTATTATTGACAGATGAGGGAGAGCCCCAATGCTATGCAAGAGCCATAGAAGATGAAAAAATGGCACATTGGGTTGGTGCTATGGAAGATGAGATGCAATTTTTGTATGACAATCACACATTTGAGCTAGTAAAGTTGCCTAAGGGTAAGAGAGCTTTGAAGAACAAGTGGGTCTACAAGGTGAAGCAAGAAGAACATACTTCACAACCATGATACAAAGCCAGATTGGTTGTCAAGGGATTTAGTCAGAGAAAAGGTATTGATTTTGATGAAATTTTCTCTCATGTTGTGAAAATGTCTTCCATATGTGTTGTTTTAGGCTTAGCAGCTAACCTGGATTTAGAGATTRAGTAGATGGATGTGAAAACTGCCTTTCTTCATGGTGAATTGGAGGAAGAGATCTATGTGGAGCAACCAGAGGGTTTCGAGGTGAAAGGAAAAGAGGGTTATGTTTGCCAGTTGAAGAAAAGCCTTTATGGTTTGAAACAAGCACCAAGACAATGGTATAAGAAGTTTGAGTCAGTTATGGGGGAGCATGGCTATAAGAAGACTACTTCTTATCATTGTGTTTTTGTGCAGGAATTCTCTGATAATGATTTTATTATCTTATTATTTTACGTTGATGATATGTTGATTGTTGGTAGAAATTCTTCAAGGATTGAGAATCTGAAGAAGCAATTAAGTAAGTCCTTTGCCATGAAGGACTTGGGACCAGCAAAACAAATTCTTGGAATTCGAATTTGTTGAGACAGGAAAAAAAAGAAGTTGTACATGTCATAGGAGTGGTACATTAACAAGGTATTTGAAAGGTTCCATATGGATAAAGCTAAAGTGGTTTCTTCTCTTTTATCTAACCACTTTAAGTTAAGATCAGATCAAGGCCCTTCAACAGATAAAGAGAAGGAAGATATGGAAAAGGTTCCATATGCGTCAGCAATAGGAAGTTTGATGTATGCAATGGTATGTACAAGGCCAGACATAGCTCATGTAGTTGGAGTTGTTAGTCGTTTCCTTTCGAACCCAGGAAGAAAGCATTGGGATGCGGTAAAGTGGATAATGAGATATCTTTGAGGTACTTCCAATTTAACACTTAGCTTTGGTAGTGGTAAACCAGTGTTAGTTGGATACATAGATTCAAATATGGCAGGAGATGATGATTCTCGTAAGTCTACTTCAAGTTATCTAATTACTTTCTCTGGTGGAACTGTTTCGTGGCAGTCAAGGTTGTAGAAGTGTATTGCTCTTTCTACAGCAAAGGCAAAGTTTATTGCAACAAAAAAAGCTTATAAAGAATTGTAATGGATGAAGTAGTTCTTGAGAGAGCTTGGTTTCAAGCAATAGAAGTATGTCCTGTTCTGTGATAATCAGAGTAATATTCATTTGGCTAAGAGCTCAACATTTCATGCAAGGTCAAAGTATATCGATGTGAGGTATCATTGAATAAGAGATACTCTAAACAACAAATTAYTTGAACTTGAGAAAATTCACACAAAATCATTACCAAGAGAAAAACTTGAGGTTTGTCGCTTGGTCGCCGGGATGGCGAATCCTTCCACCTAATTGGGAAAGGGGGAGATTTGTTGGGTTTCCCTCTTATGTGGAGGATGGCCCAAGAAGCCCATGTGGTATTTTTGAGCCCATGGATGAGGGTATTTTTGCCCAAATGAAAATAGGCAAAGGAAATAACCTTTTAGTGGTGTTGGCTGCTGGAAGATTGAAAAATAAAAAGAAGAAAAAAGGAAGAGAATCCCGTGTAAAAAAAACAGAGAGAGAAAAGGAGCAGACTTTTTAAATTCCAGCCTGCATAGTTTTCATCTTGTGCCTTGATCGAAGGTCGTTTGTGGTCCATTTGAGYTGAAATTTTGCAGGTATGTTTGCAACTTAATGTTCTTCAATCTGAACGGTGGAGATCTTTTTTGGCTCACTGGTTTGTGAAATATGAGTCCGTGAACAGTACCTCTGTTTTGGGTGAGATTTCTCCATTATCTTGAGATATTTGTTAGTTTCTAAGGAATGTATTTATTTGATGATTTGCTGATTGTATGCCTCTAGTTTTATCTAGAGAGAACCCTTGTACAATTACTTTCTTGATAGTGGAAGTTTTTTGTGACCGTGGTTTTTTATCTTCCCACACCGGAAAGGTTTTTCCACGTAAATTTGATTGTGTTCTTGTGTGCTTGTTTTTTGGTTTTAAGCTCTACTAAATTGTTTCCTAATAGATTCACACAAAGAGGGAGAAAAATATTATTTTCCGCTGTTTATGGAACTTGGTTAGAGTTTGCTTGATTTCGTGATTCTCCCAATACTATGTTCTAGTGGAGACTTAGGATCGATTCGGCTACCACCAGATTGGGGGTTATGGGTATGGAGGGATGGGCTACCCCCAATGTGTATCCCAATGAACCAAAAAATGTGGAATTTTTGGCACTAGGTTCATTCCACTAGTGCTACATGTCGGTGGTCTTGGATAATGATATATGATGGGGGCATGTATTGATCAATTGGACTGGATTTGGTACAATCCGATCTAGTCCAATGTGAGTCCATTATAAATGGACCAGGTCCAATCCAATCCAATGAATGTTTTTGACCAATTTGGATTGGTCCAATTCAATGTCTGGACCATCCAATTTGTTCAAATTCATTTTGATTTAGATTGGTTTCAACCCAAACCCGGTCCATTGACACATATATTCTTATCTTATATCAATGGACCAAATATTGGCTTAATCCAACCTAATCCAATATAAATTTGTTACAGATGGACCAGGTCCAATCCAATCTAATAAAGATTTTGGACCAGATTGGTACAATCCAATATGTCTTATTGGTCCATCCAAACCGTCCAAATCGATTTTGGACTAGACGGGGTCCAATCCAAAACCGGTCCATTGACACCAATGGTTAGAGGTTCAATTGGGGTCAAACTAGAGGTTGAATTGCGATGATATAATATATATACATTATAAATTATATATTATAATTTATATATTAGATTATAATATATTCAAAACATATATTTTTATTCTTCCATAATACATTTGTTTATTTTAGTTTCAATTTTTTTTATATTAAAAGTTAAGATTGAGGCAAAAAAAGGTGTTCTTCAACAAAAAAAAATCACACCAATTGAACATCTAAGCGAAATGTTATGGGATGTAGAAATTTGCATTTATATGCTAAAAATTAAAAAAAGTGACCAATTTTCTACAATTGGAACCAGTTCATTGGTTTTTTTATTCGATTGGCCCAGTTAGCAATTTTGACCAATTTTTTTTACCTAATTTAGTTTTGGGGTGCTTGACTAGGGCCCCCCGGGTCACAATTCAATCGGCTAACCTGTTGGTCTGGTCTCATCTCTCTATAATTCTTGGAGAATAATCTAAATGGGAAATCCTCAAAGAATTCAAGAATTACAAATATCTCATGAATTTTTCACCTTATAAGAACAAAAAAGAATATTTAATATTATACATAAAAAAATAAAAATATTATATATAATATAAGCATAAACTTCACAAATAAAATTTATTAGACTCGAATTTGATTCAATTAGCTTATCTATTAGCTTCGAACTTGACTCGAATCTCGATTTAAAATAAATAGAAAAAATTTCTGATTAGTACCCTGTACTTTGGGCCTAGTGCCACTTTGGTCCCCGAACTTTAAAATGCGACAATTTAGTAGTCAAACTTTCAAAATGTGTCAATCCAATATCTATCATTAACCAGTTATTAACCAACCGTTAAATGGCATTTGAAAAAGACACAATTGCCCTTCGAGTGYCATCTAATTATTTTTATCAACCATCAAAACATTGACAAAAAATTAACAGTCATAAATCTGTCTCTTTTATTCAAGAAAGTTAAGGTCCAGAATGCCCATTGAGACATGACCCCAACTTTCTTGAATAAAAGAAGCAAAGATTTGAGATTGTTAATTTTTTGTCAATGTTTAGATGATTGATAAAAAAAATTAAATGACATTCGAAGGACATTTGTATCTTTTCAAAGGCCCTTTAACAGCTGATTAACAATTAGTTAACGGTAGACACTGGATAAACACATTTTAAAACTTTGGATACTAAATTATCGCATTTTAAAGTTCAGGGACCAACACTAGGCCCAAAGTACTGGCATAACTTTCCCAAACAAAGAAAATCGAGCAATCGAACTTTTWTAACTCGTAAAAAATTCAGTTCGTATCCATCCCTAATCCAGGCCCAGGCCCGTTCGGGGCATCGGGCCCAGGTGTGTACTTCATTAAATGGGCTCAGTCCTGTCCGCTCTATTTCTTGATGCATGTAACATATCCTGTATCCACGGCGATCTAGGCATCTAGTGGAATACGGCTTTCATCAACTCGTGCGGACAACATTGCCCCGTAAGAAAATGAAACAATGAATGAGAAATTCTTCCTGTGCTACTGATCTCTCATTTAAGTCACCTTTCTTCAGTTCGTTCCCCACGTTCGCCGGAGTACCGCCACCACCGCCTCTTCCTCTGCCGCCGATCCGTGGTCGGACTTTGCACTGGTAAGCTCGGTGTTCATCATCATCATCATCATCTTCTTCTTCTTCTTCGTGTCTTTCTAGGTAGAACGTTATTCTAAATACATGCAACGACATTGAGGAGAACTGCGGTGAATTCGACAAGGGAATAGAAAAATAAAGTATAATCTATAGTGCTGATTTTTTCCCATGTGACTTTTCTTTGAATTTTTTTTTCTTAAATTATTTGATTAGTTTTTTGTGTTTTCGACAAGGGTAAAATCTGCATTGGTAGAACTCATGAAGTGATTTTGTGGGGGTGCTAAATTTTGATTCTCTTGGGGTTTTTTATTAGGGTTTTGATGTAGTACAGTTGTATTCAAGAGTTGAGCCTATTTATTTGATGAGCACTCTTTATACCCTCCCATTGTTTGTTGTTTGGCCGCAATGATTTCCAATGCTACAGTTTCTTAAAACAGAAAAGAATTGTTAATTCCATGGGTACAGGAACTATACGGGTTCACTACAGGGTTCAGCTCGGTTTTGGGTGTATACTAGAGGGGGCTGAACTATTTTGGAAGTTTCCTTTCCTTGCTAAACTAGAACTGTGGAATGACGATAAGAAGCCTTTAACATATTTCTGACTGATCTGTTATAATTGGATTTGCTTTTCTTAATTAAAGTTGTCATGAAATTTTATTTGCTTCTGCAGGCTGTACTAAGTATATGCTTTTGATAATACACGGACACAGAGAAGAGAGACAAGAAACATATAACTTCTTTGATACCCAAGGGAGAGAAAAATAAGATTTTTTTTTTTTTTTKGGGGGGGGGTTCAACGCAGAAAGACCTTTAAATTAGTCTATTTAGTTTTTGAGAGGATGAAGGAAGTAGAAGTAAACCGATGCCAAATTCAGGAATGGTACCCAAAGTTCAGATCTGTCTCCATTAGAACCTTGATCCACCGGCTTCCAGAAGACTTTGTCCAATACCTTCTTGAGGATTCTGGACCTTTCCTCCTTCCACAAACTATCTCTGGTGAAGATGCCTTGCCCCAGAGAATCCATAATCCTGAAGAGGAGGATGATTTTGAAGTATCAGAAGGATCTGGAGATGAATCAGAAAAACCACCACCTGCACCTTCTTTCCCAGAATTTGAGTTGAAAGTTAAAGAATCAATCAGTGCTCTTGGTGGAGTTGTCTTCCCTAAGCTGAACTGGAGTGCACCAAAGGACTCTGCTTGGATTACCACAACTGGGACCCTCCAATGCACCTCATTCAGTGAGATTGCTCTGGTTTTACGATCCTCTGATTCTTTGGTCCATGATCTTTGCCATGCTTTTGATTCATGCACTGATAAGACCTGCTCGAGACCTTCAACTTTCTTTCTTGCTCTTCGAAAGTGGTACCCATCCCTCCGTCCAGAGATGGAATTCCGTTGCTTTGTTTGTGATCAGCTCCTTGTTGCAATCTCTCAACGTGAGGTCACCAATTTCTACCCTGTTCTTCAAGAGAAGAAACATGATCTTGAAGTGTTAATCTCTGAATTCTTTATGGAGAATGTGAGGATGAAATTTGAATCAGAGAATTACACGTTTGATGTTTATGTAACAAAGGATGGGCGTGTTAAGCTTATTGATTTCAATCCTTGGGGGGCATTTACATTGCCGCTTCTGTTCACTTGGGAGGAACTGGAGCAAAGCTCCAGTGAGAAGGGGGATCGTGTTGAGTTTAGGATTGTAGAGAGCAGATGTGCAGTTCGTCCAGGATTGAAGACAGCAGTCCCTTATGATTACTTGGATACCAGCCCAGGCAGTGGGTGGGATCAGTTCCTGAGGAATGCAGATGCAGAATTGCAGAGGCAAGCTAGATCTCCTGATGCATGTGCTTAAAGGATTCCTTTTCTACTTCAATGACAATTTTGTTTGCAATTCAGTTATCTTCTGAGTTCCCTATGTTTTTTAACAAGTTCAGAAGCAACATGGTTTATTATTTACTTGTGGAAGAGAATTAATTGCTTGTCTTGTAATTAAGCTGAATTAGTGTTTCACCTAAAAGAAGTTTTTTTTTTTTTTTTATATATATTTTTAAGAATTATATTGTAGATATAATGGACCATTAGAATTTTTTTTTGAGATGCTGCTCCTTTTTGTTCTTGTGGAGAAACATGAGGTCCTATATGGACAGATCGGTCCTGTGCTTGTTCAATCAAGCAACCAGAACCCAACCGGAAATCTTTGAATCCAAAAATCTTTGGTTTGGGTTAGGGTTAGGGTTGGGGACTTGGCGGTTCCAACAGCTTGGGCTGGATTAGGGTTGACCTCAACCCAATTTGCACCCCTAGTCAAATGGCCCTCATGCCGTATCACCTATCCCACATGCCCATACCTTCGGATACCGATATGATATATGATACACCTTATATCTTCTCGATAATTTGAACCTTTGTATGGGCATTTAACACCCTGAATGGAATTGAAACGGATGATTCTAACACTGCAATGGTTATTTCTCGGTTAGATTGTTCCCACTATAACCAGAATTTGGCCAGAAAATCTTACTCACCACCCTTGTCTCTACCATATCTATTAGAATAGCCATATTTATGGTCACGTTGTTGGAGTTATGATTACGTTCTTAACATTTATTAGACTGTTAAGGGAATCGAAGCAAGTYGAAACGTTTAGAGGCACAGAGGACCTTTTGATTGTCTCAACATCACCTAKAAATAAGAACGGTCACACATTGTCATCTCAATCATCTCTTCCCATCTTCTTGGAGGCTTGAAGTTGAGTGGAGAGTCGTGTGGCAATAAGAAGGGATGAGGCAAGAGTTTGCAAGCTCAGAACAGCTAAATGGAAGGTATTACTCTATTTTAAATATGTATTTCCATTTTTTATTTAACGATGTTTTAAGTCGATTTCCAGTTAAAATACATTAAAACTAGTATCAGAGCCTACTCTCAAATGTTAAAAATGCAAATTCCATTTTTCAGTGATTTGGCCAGATTCCGACAATATATACGTTGGATATTGATCCCCAGTTGACCAGCGTCCACTTCCGGTCACTTCCATCCACCAATTGACCTACAATGGTGATGAGGGCAGTTTTGGCCCTCCACTGACATCATGACACATGGCACATCAGAACAGTTAGACTACATCCCAGTATCACCTAGGCGACAACTTGCCTTAGCCAAAATGGGGTCCCATCTGGCAACCTGCCTCTACCGCTGACCTGGCGACCTGTTTCTGTCACCGACTCGACCTGGCGACCTACCTCTTTAGAAGCTTGCCAGTTGTCTCCGAACTTTTCCAGATCACGCTGCGTAACCATAAGCCTTATCCTCATCCCGCCCGAATCGGAGGGAAACGGTAAGCCTTATTAACTGGCATGTTATCCTCCTTCCAAAGCGGAACAGACCCCTATGTCATGGGCCGAGGACTCCGGGAGCATTTCGCAATACCCATGGCAGCCCAACTATATAAGGGCGTCAGCCCCTGAGACCCAGAGAGATGCACAAATTTTAGTTATCACAACTCTCTCACATTTAGCTATCTTAAAATCTATGATTCGTTAACTTAAGCATCGGAGTGCCCACCCCGGTTTAAACAACCCGGGCACTCTGACACTGCTTCCTTGCAGGTCTCATCAGAGTCACCTCTCTAGCTCGTCACCATTTAGCTAGGCATCAGAGACACCTCTCCAACTCGTCACCACTTAGCTAGGCATCAGAACCACCTCTCTAACTCGTTACCATTTACCTAGGCATCAGAGCCACCTCTCCAGCTCGTCATCATTCAGCTAGACATCAAAGCCACCTCTCCAGCTCGTCACCACTCAGACATCAAAGCCACTTCTCCAGCTCATCACCATTCAGCTAGGTATCAGAGCCACCTCTCCAGCTTGTTACCATTTAGCTAGGCATCAGAGCCACCTATCCAGATCGTCACCACTCAGCTAGACATCAGAGCCACCTCTCCAGCTCGTCACCATTTAGCTAGGCATTAGAGCCACCTCTCCAG